TCGCCCACCTGCCGCTGCCGCTGCCAGGGGTCCGGCCTTACCAAAGAGGACGCCAGGCTGCTGCAGAGCGCGGGCATGGACAGCAAGAAGCTGCCCCGGGCCGTCACGCTCATCGGTGAGTACCGAGCGGAGCCCACGCCCCACCTCTGAACCAGACCAGCCAGGAGCCCACCGGGCTGCCCCACGCCTACGCGGCTTCTCCGTCCCGGAGTTAATAACCACCCCAGGGGCTCGCCCCTCCCCCCAAGGAACTTTCTCATTCCTTCTCGGTGTGCGCTGCGTCTTGGAGAAGTAGAAATGGAAGGAAACTTCGGGTGAGGGGAAGTGATTCAGAGTCACGTGGCGGTGGTGGCCTTGGGTACACCCCCTAGGACCAGGCTCCTTTCTCTCCGTCCTGAGGAGGCCCATCCATCTGCACACAGCTGAGCTGGCCCGCTGCCAGTGGGCTGGGGACGCGAGTATGGTTTGTTTGCTTGTGAAGGAGAGGCTACCTGAGCGCGGAAGAAGGCCCCTGTGTTAGTTGCTTTCTCCCACTGTGATACAGCACTGACCAAAGCCAACTTGGGGAGGAAAGGATTTACTGGGCTTGCAGGTCCATCATCAAGGGAAGTCAGGGCAGGAACCTGGAGGCAGGAAATGAAGCCAAACCACAGAGGAAGAGTTGCTTTCTTAGGCTACCCCACTCCCGTGGTACTGCCCTGGGTAGACCGGGCCCTTCCACGTCAATCATTCAAGAAAATGCCCAACAGACTTGCCTACAGTCCAATCTGATGGAGGCTTTTTCTCAAGGGGGCTCCCGTTTTTTCCAAATGACCCTAGATGGTCTTAAGTTGACCAAGCATTAACCAGCATGCCCCCCTAGAGGTTGTAGGTCATTCTGAGTGAGGAATGGCCCTGTTGTGGTTGGTTTACTGGTACATCCTGGGTTGGGGGTGGTAGAAGGTTCATTAGAGACTGGCAAGAGCAGAGGCCCAAAGAAGCTAGTGCCTTGCCTAGCAGGTAAACTGTTCCAGTCTGGGGTGATGGAAAGGGAGGACAAGAGCCAGTACCTAGGGGTCCTGAGATAGACCACGAGAAACTTTGAGATTTCTGTGAGCAATTTGCCTCCCTCCTCGTGGGTTAGGACCCTCATGATTACTCTGGGACCAGGACAGCCTCTATTTCATGGTCAACTGAACCTTAATTCCTCTTCGCTCAATGGCCTAGTGTATTCACTGGTTCTAGGGACATCTTTGGGGCGATGGTACACCAACCTATATTTTTACCAGAGTCTTTCACATTTATTTATTTATTTATTTTAGAGATTTATTTATTACATATACAATGTTCTGCCTACATGCCAGAAGAGGGCACCAGATTGAATTGTAGATAGTTGTGAGCCATCATGTGGTGGCTGGGAATTGAACTCAGGTCCCCTGGAAGACAGGCCAGTGCTCTTAACCTCTGAGAAGAAACGGGGCTCAGGACGCAGTCAGTGGGCAGGACCAAGGATCTGATACCGCTAAGCTAGGAGAAGGGTGGAGGCCTCTCCCAGGTTTCTGACTAACTCAATGGCCGATTGTTCGCTCTCCCATAGAGGAAAACATGGAAAAAGATGGGGAAATAAACAAGGATGTGCCTCGGTCCGCAGGATCCTGCTTGGGTCAGGAACTCTGTTGAGTGCTTGATCCCAGGAGGTGAAGCCGGCTATCTCAACAAGGGGAGGGGGGTGTGTGTACTAGACTCTGTGACTTGCTGGACCCCAGGCCATCTCTTTCTCGTCCTTTGTGACCTTGGGAGGAGCAAGCCACTGTGGAGAGGGTTGGGAGTATTGCTGGTTGGTCTAGTGCCTATTTCTTTTGGCAGGTACTCTGAAGGGGCTGTCTAGCTGTGGTGGAGGTACTGAAGCCAGGAGACATATTTTAAGCCAAGTCTCATGTGTGCTGGGCTGCCCTCAAAGTCACTGTATAGCTGCAGTGACCTTAAACTTTGATTCTCTTGCTTCCACCTCCAAAGTGCTGGGATTACAGGGATGCAACACCACACCTGGTTTATGGTGCTGGGGACCCATCTTGGGGCTCCAGGCAAGTGCTCTACCAACCGTTCAGGCAGCTGGCAGGAGGTGAGGAGTCTGTGAAGCTGAGAAAGGGGAAGGGGGCTATAGCCTTGTGTAGTGAAGGCTTGTCCCTCAGATCTTGACTTGGACTTAACTTCTCTTATCCCCAAGGCAGCTTAGGGGTGGCTGTCTCACACTGCCATTTGGATTGTGTCTCTTTGTCCCCTGGTAGAATGGAAGGTAGAGGCGTGGACTTGCCCATCAGTGACTTCTCAGACAGCCTGTCTTACTCATGCAAGTCAGAACTTATTTCCTGGATCCCTCTAGGGAGGAAACAGTGTTTGATCTCGGTGTTTGTCTCGCAGTTGGCACACCTATGGAGAAGGATCACCCCACCCGGCCGCTGGCCGCCAGGAGTCCACACCGCCAGGTCCTCCTTATTGTCCATGCAGTGGGGAGCAGTCACAAAGTGAATGAAAGCTTGGTCAGTCTGAGTGTGGTGTGGAGGGCAGGGAGGCTGTTGGCAATGGGGCTGGAGATGAGGGCTCTTTGGAGAAGGTTAGACAGCATTAGACTTCCAAAGATGGTCCCGGTTTGATGAGTCTTGGGGGAGTGGTTAGGATTTTGAAAGCAAGAATGTTCTTGGAGCTCAGTGCAGAGGAAGACATCAATGTCATGGAGAGGAGCAGAGGCCCTGGCCAGAAGGAGGTGGACCTCCTGAGCCTGGCACTGGCATAAGCCTTTCTGTTCTTTGGGGGCCATAAAGTCCTTTAGCAGTGACTGCAGGGCTGGGGGAAGGGAGAAGACACGTTAAGGGGGCCCAGATGCCTCTGTGTTTTTGCAAGTTGAGTGTGTATAGAATGTATTTATGTAATATGTGTGACCAAGAGTTGTTTTGTCAGCCTGGCAAGGTGACTCACACCTGCAACCCAGCACCTGGGAGGCTGAAGCAGAGGAGTTTTGTCTACCCTAGGCTTCATGTTGAGAGCCCATCAAAGTGGCATTTGTGTTGAAGCCCATAACCCTAGCATGCCAGAGGTTGTACCAAGATTGCTGCAAGTTTGAAGCTAGCCTGGGCCAGAAACCTGCAGGCCAGATGGGCTGTAGAAACCCTATTTTCAAAAAGGAAAACAGAGAATGGTGGTGTGGGCACTTCCACTTAAGCTCTCCAGGGCCTTGCTAAGCTCAGGGCCATGAACTAGGTGGGTCCCCTACCTGGTTTGAGAGAACTTGCTCACCCACTGGGTTTCTTCCATGCTTGGCTTTCTGAAGGTCAGAGCTAAAGGAAGGTTCAGCCACAGGAATTACAGTGACTGGTGAGTTTATCTTCCTTGTCTTGGATGAGCTTTCCAGTTCTGCTTTTATTATTTGTGAGTCTTAATTTAGGGCTGGGACATAGCTCAGTGGTAAAGCATTTGTCTAGCATGAACAAGACCCTGGTTCAAGGCCCTGGCCCTGTGGGGAAAAGTCATGACTCTCAGGTTATACATATTGGTGGTGGTGATTTGTTTTTAAAACTGTATGAGTGTTTGGCCTGCATTTATGTCTGTGTAACATGTGCCTGGTACCTGCAGAGGCCAGAAGAGGGTGCCTGATCCCATGGAATTGGAATTAAAGAAAGTTGTAAGCCTCCATGTGGGTGCTGGGAATTGAACTCAGGTCCTCTGGAAGAGCAGCCAGTGCTCTACTTAATCACTGAGCAATCGCACAGCGCGCGTGTGTGGTGTGTGTGGTGTGTGTGGTGTGTGTGGTGTGTGTGGTGTGTTGGTTTGGTTTTTTTGGGGTGTGTGTGTGTGTGTGTGTGTGTGGGTGGGTGTGTGGTTGTGTGTGTGTGTGTGTGTGTGTTTAAGGTCTCACTGTGTAACTCTAGCTGACCTGGAACTTGCTATGTTAGACCAAATTTGATCAAGGTCCCCCTTCTTTTGGTAACAGGTGTGTTGTAATTCATATAACATACAAGGTACCATGTTACAGTGTACAATTCAAGGGGTTCTACATATTCAGTGTTGTGTAACAGCTACCACAAAGCTACAGGTTTTAAGAAACCCTATCTTGCCGGGTGTTGGTGGCGCACGCCTTTAATCCCAGCACTTGGGAGGCAGAGGCAGGCGGATCTCTGTGAATTCAAAGCCAGCCTGGTCTACGAGAGCTAGTTCCAGGACAGCCTCCAAAGTCACAGAGAAACTCTTTCTCAAAAAAAAAAAAAAAAAAAATTCCACAGGGACTGGGGCAGATGAGAGAAACCCTTTTTAAAAAAAAAAAAAAAAAAAAAAAAATTCCACAGGGACTGGAGATATGCCGTAGCACTACTTAAGAGTTCTTGCAGTTCCCAGCACACCCACTGTGGGATGCTCACAATCGCCTACAACTCCAGCTCTGTGGGATCCAGCACCGTCTGCTGACCTCCGAGGGCACACACACACACGGACACGGACACGGACACACAGACACACACGGACATAGTTAAAAATAAGTCAGAACAAGCAAATATTCCAGGGCTGGATTTAGGGCTCAATGGGTTGTCGCCTGCCTCAGCATGCTTGGGGGCCTGGGTTAGTTCCCCAGCACAAAGCTTTAGAAAAACCCAAACAGATTACAATGCTCTGTCTCTCTTTCCCTGCGCCCTTCATTCACTCTCTCTATCCCTCCCCTCCCCAACCTTTTCTGCCCAACCCCCTCCAGAGATAGGATTCCTCTGTGAAGCTCTGACTGTCTGTCCTAGAACTCACTCTTTAGACCAGGGCACCAGGATGACCTCAAAACTCAGATGCCTCTGCCTCACCACCTGGCTTCATACATCTCCCCTCCCAAGACAGGGTTTCTCTGAGTAGCTCTGGAGACCAAGCTGGCCTTGAACTCACAGAGATCCACCTGCCTCTGCCTCCTGAGTGCTGGGATTAAAGGCGTGTGCCACCAACGCCCAGCTGTTGTAACTCTTTAAGCTTCTGTGTCCAGAGGGCCTTGTGGCTTCTGAGGGGTGAGCACGGGTGCTGTTGCCTCTGCTGAATCTCAGCATTGCTGCTGCCACCGCTTTTCATCATGACCACTCCATCTGCTACTCCGCCTTTCCTGGCGGGACAGCTAATGGTATTTGTCAGCTTGACAGAACCTAGACTCGGGCAGGGAAATGGACCTCCCATGTCCTTACCTTAATTGTGTTAACTGCTGTGGGAAATCGTTTCCTAGCTGGCAGAGCCATTCCCTGTGCTGCAGCTTCTTGGCCTTTTAAAACGGGGCTGGTAAACCGCACTAGCATGCATTCACTCCTCACTGTTTCCTTGTTGTGGACGTCACGTGACCCTCGGTTCCAGGCTGCTGCCGCCTTGACTCCCCCGCATGATGGACTGTACACTTGAACTGTGAACCACAATAATCCCTCTCTCCCCTGCTTGGCTTTTGTCAGGGCATTTTATCAGAGCCACGGGAAAAGTAACTGAGACACTTTGGTGGTCACTATCAGGGGGACTCAACAGCATCTAAAGGTATGCCTTGGGCCAGGCATACCAGCTCCTTAAAAAGTACATTTATTTTCATTTATTGGTGGCAGGTGGCACGCACGTACCGCTGCATGCGTGTGAAGGTCAGGAGACAAGTTGTGAGAGTTGATGTTTTTCCTGCTACTATGTGGGTTCCAGAGATCAAACGTCAGGCTTGGTGACAAGCACCTTCCTTCACCTGTGGAGCCATCTGCCAGCCTTGGTCACAGCCTGTGATCCCAGCTTCCCCAGAGGCTGAGGTGGGAAGGTCACATGAGCTTGGGAAACAGGGAGAGACCATATCTCAAAGCAGAAGGACAGCTGGGCGAGATGGTGCAAGCTAAAAACCCAGCACTCGGGAGGCAGAGGCAGGAGGATCTCTTGAGTTCCAGGACAGCCTGGACTACATAGAGCAGTGATTGTCAGTCTGTGGGTCACAACCCCTTTGGGGGCCAGATGGCCTGCCTTTTCACTGGTGTCACCTAAGACCACCGAAAAATACAGATATTTACATTATGATTCATAACAGCAGAATGGCAGTTATAAAGTAGCAACTAAAGTAATTTTGTGGTTGGAGGGTCACTCACCACAACATGAGCTGTGTTAAAGGGTCGCAGCATTAAGCAGGTGGAGAACCACTAACAAACCCTGTTTCAAACAAAACAAAACCCACAAGGAGAGGACAACAGAAACTGGTGGGTGTGTCCTGTCTCCTGTTCCTCCTACTCATTCCCTGTCTGTGGCCTCCCAACTACCTGGTGCCCTTGGCCTTTGAGCCATAGACAAGGCCCATAGCTGCTGACTCCCCACAGCTCTGGAGAGCTGAGTCTGCCTGAGTCTTCACTTGTGGCAAAGGCCTGGAGAGACCATCGAGGCAGCTGGGATTTTGATGAAAAACATGTAGACTCAGGACTTGACCTTGGTTGACTTTGACCTTGTAGAGCTGCAGTCTGGTCCCTGCTCTTTCTTCTGTAGCAGGTTGCCCATGGTGTCCTGGATTCTGTTACCTGCTGCCTGAAGGCCCCTTGCTCGAATCTATGGCAGCGGCACTGCTGTCGGGCACAGTGCACGTGGTGTGGACATCGCTTGCTCTGTTTTTCAGAGCCTTTATTTTCAGAACTGTGTTCTAGCATGTCTCCCAAATGAAGTTCTGATCTCACCTGGGTGCTTTGCCTGGGTGTCTTGAGCCAAGGTGGCCGTGGTGTGTGTGGGGGATCAGGTGAAGACCAGTGTGGCTCTAAGTTGAGTGTGGCTGGGATGGTCTCTTACCACTTGCCTTTCTGTTTTCTTTCCAGGGCTGCCCCTGTACATGAAGTCCCTTCGATGGGCTCTGGTGATCATGGCTGTGTTCCTGGCTGTCTGCACTGTAGCCATTGTGGCACTGGCCTCTAGAGGCGGTATGGAACCCTGTTGCTATTGTATACTTGTAGCACCTTTGAGACCAGAGATCAGAGGTGCAGTGTGAAGACATGGGTAATGAGAATACTAGCCCCTCTCCGGGGGAACCTGGCTCGGTGCAGGTTGTACAGCCTTCCTAGGGCTCTCTGCCCGCCATCTTTCCCACCTGGATGCTTGCCAGCTCCCCACCCGTAGATTTACCCCCCAGCCAAGGTCATGGCCTGATTTTGTTTGCTCAGTGTATTCACCCATAGCCCCTTAGAATCTCCCCTTGACCCACACAGATCTTTGCTTTCAGGAGCCAGGTGCCAGCCATGCCCTCGAGGCTGGTTGTGGTCTCAGGAACACTGTTACTACCTCTCTGAAGAAGCCCAGGACTGGGAGAGCAGCCAGGCATTCTGCTCAGCCCACCATGCCACACTGCCCCTGCTGAACCACACCCAGGTAAGAAAGGCTGGCTAGGAAGAGGGTATGCGTCATCCTAGATCCTTGACTCTTAGTCCTGGAAGGAACCGCTAGATCAAGTCCTTCACGCCATGAGGGTCACTGAGGCCCCAAAGGAATAACGTGACAAGCACAGGGACCAGATATCAGGTGTCCAGGGGTTTCATTCTCCGATTAAGGCAAAGCTAGGATGGTTCCATGCAGCCTGGGCTACTCAGTTGCAGGCCTGCTGGGTGTGGTGTAGGAAACACAGCATGTTTAGTGCTATGTAAGTGTCAGGCATTGGCTGTAAGGGCTGGGAACAAAGCATCTTAGAAATTACTTAGTGCCTTGTGACCATAAGCATTTCTTTGCTTTTCTGTCCTGGTCTTTTCTTTTTTTTAAGAGTCTCACTATGTAGTCCTAGCTGGCCTAAAACTGGCTGTGTAGACAAGGCTGCTCCAGATTCACCTGCCTCTGCCTCCTGGATGCTAAAATTCAAGGCACTCATCACCACACTCTGCTTAAAATATTTATTTTTATTGATGTGTGAGTATGTCTGCATATGAGTACAGGTCCCATGGAGGCTTCAGAGGTCAAATCCCCTGGAGCTGGAATTACAGTTGGCTGTGAGTTGCCTGATGTGGATGCTGGGAACCAAATTTGGGTCCAATGAAAAAGCAAGTGCTGAGCCAGCCATCTCTCCAACCTTGTGATTATCTGGAGAGCGTGCGTGCTGCGTGCGTGCGTGCGTGCTTGCGTGCGTGCAGGTTAGGCTATCTATCACTGTTATAAAACACCATGACCAAAGGCCACTTGGGGAGGAAAGAAAAGGTTTGTTTCATGTTAGAGCTTGTACATCATCCATGGGAGTCAGGGCAGGAAACTTGGGGCAGACGCTGATACGTCCATGGAGGAGTGCTGTTTACTGGCTTGCTCAGCCTGCCTTTATGCTATCCAGGACCATTTGCCCAGGGTAGACCACATACAGAGACTGGGCCCTTCCACATCAATCACTAATCAAGAGAATGCCCAGTAGACTTGCCTGCAGGCCAGGTTTATAAAGACATTTTCTCAGTTAAAATTCCTCTAGAGGTGGTTTTGCACTACTTTAATCCCAGCAATCTGGAGGCAGAGGTCAGTGGATCTCTGTAAATTCAAAGCCAGCATAGTAAGTTTACATAATAAGTTTCAGGCCAGCCAGGGCTACATAGCAAGACTCTATCTTAAAAACAAACAACAACAAGAAAAGATACTCTCTTCCCAGATGTGCCTAGGTTTGTGTCGAGGTAAGGAAACAGTCAGCACGATAGACTCCTTGTCAACTTGACACACAAACTTACCACTTATTAATCCATAACCTTTTTCTTCACCTCCAACAGCTCGTATTAATATAAATATCACAACACAAAAACATCCGACAGTTTAAAAGTTCAGTCTCTCCAAAACTCCAAAGTCTCTTTCAACTATAGGGGACAGTGTCAGCCACACCTGCTAGAAGCTGGCTATAGGTGTGCCTCATCACACCTGTCAGGATGACGCGTAATAGGGTTTTAAGGGGCTGCAAGGCACATGGGAGCCCCTTCTCTCTGGCCTGCTTGCCTTGCTGGCCCTGGCAAGCTCTGGCTTGAGTTTGGCTGGTGTTTATTTAAATAAAGATATCTTTTTTCTTTAAGTTCTTTTTTTTCAAGATTTTATTTCTTATATATACAACATTCTGCTTCCATGTATATCTGCACATCAGAAGAGGGCACCAGATCTCATAACAGATGGTTGTGAGCCACCATGTGGTTGCTGGGAATTGAACTTGGGACCTCTGGAAGAGCAGTCAGTGCTCTTAACCTCTGAGCCATCTCTCCAGCACTAAATAAAGATATCTTAACCTTACAGATTATGGGTCATCTCATAACACCCAACTTTAGGATCCTATAAAATTGGAAATAAGTTAAATACCTTCTTACACCAAGAAGGAAGAATCAGGGCACAGTCACAATTTGAACAAAGCAAAATCCAACCCCAACAGTGTGAATAAGTCAGTGCTCAGTGTGCAGGATTCACTCACAGTCTGGGCTCCAAAGGATGTGGACAGTCCCACTCCTCTGGCTCTGCCGTTCAGCCCACACACATCTTGTCTCCTAGGCTTAAGTCAGCTCTACTCCACAGCTGCTGCTGTCTTTGCTCATCCCCTAGTTGACATCTCCAGAACGCTGGGGTCTCCACTGCAACGGGGCTGTAGCTTCATCTCAACGCTCCTGGGATCTTTACAGGGACTCTGATCCTGCCACACGTATCAAGCCCCTTCAATCCTTTGGCTTCTACTTTAACTGAGGGTGCACATTCACTGATGGCCTCTCCCCACCACATGACACCAGGCCTCAGCTGCAGTCCTTGACCTCTTCATGCCTTCAAAACCAGCACCACCTGGGAAACTTACACATTACTAAGTTTGGTTGCCAGCACAAAACAAAGCCTTACCCCTTCTGGACCGCAGCCTCTGTGTGCTGACCCTGTAGAAACACTTCCCAGAAGACTTTTGTCTCAGTGATGCTGGTCTTCTCTTAGTCACAGCTCTCGTTGACCAGTATCAATTGTCCCAGCAAAGCAAAGATTTCACTATAGTGGTTCTTTTTTTTTTTTTGTAATTTATTTTTATTTTAGGTGCATTGGTGTCTTGCCTTTATGTATGTCTGTGTGAGGGTGTCAGGTCCTCTGGAACTGGAGTCACAGACAGTTGTAAACTGCCATGTGGGTGCTGGGAATTGAGCCCAGGTCCTCTGGAATAGCAGCCAGTGCTCTTAACCACTGAGCCATCTCTCTAATACTTCAGCTGCTTTCTTATAGCCTGTATTAGGGTTCTCTTGAGTAACAGAACTTATAGAATGAATTACACACACACACACATTTATATATAAAGGGGATTTATTAGAGGCTTACAGGCTGTGGTCCAGCTAATCCAACAATGGCTGTCTTCCAAAGGAAGGTCCAGAAATCCCATAGTTTAGTCTACAAGGCTGGATGTCCCAGCTGGTCTTCAATATATGCTGGAATCCTGAAGAAGTAGGCTCTAATGTCAGCAAAGAATGGATTTGCTAGCAAGAGCAAAAGGTAAAGAGAGCAAGCTAGATCTGCCTGACTGCCTCCTGCGTGCTGGGACTAAAGGTGTCTGTCACCGATACCCAGCTGTTTGTTTCTTATTGCTAAGATAATGCCACAATTTTAGTGCATTTTATTACTGGGGGGACACACATGCACAGCCTACAATGTGTGTGTGAAGGTCAGGGCAGTTTTGAGGAGTTGGTTCTGTCCTTCCACCATGTGTCTCAGTGATTGAACTCTTCTAACCGCAAGCCACCCCCATCCCCTTACTCACTTTTATAATGGCTTTAATACTGTTGAATCAGTACAAGATAATTTTGCTCCTATAGGGAACTGCCCCATAATCTGCCCCGTACCTCCTCCATACCAAATCCCTGCCCCCCATGAACCAATCCTTCTGGTTACTGACTGCCACCTGGACATGCTTGGTAGCCTCCCAACTTGGCCCAGGCCTCTTCTCCTCTGAGCTGCTTTATTTTCATTGTGGTGACTGTCACATCCTCTTGAGATGCAGTCACTCTCATTTCTGGTCCCGCAGCCTAAGAAGCATAGTGTCAGGTCACTAGCAAGCATCCAGGTCAACTTCCACCATCACATATATTTTGCAAGCTCTTGGAGCTGATTCCTTCCTGGAGAATCATGCTGGGATCCTGCAGAACCCTCAAAGGAAATGGATACCCTAGTAAGCAGTGACGTGCAAGCATGGCTGCTTTTCTCCCCCAGGACTTCCTGAGAAAATACCAAATCACCAAAGACTCCTGGGTGGGGGCCCAACGAGGCCCTGAAGGCTGGCACTGGACTGATGGGGTCCCCTTGCCACCCCAGCTGTGAGTAACTGGTTCCCTTCTGCTTTGCTGTGTTATATGGCCTCCTTTACCCACCCAATCTTCAGTGCCAATAGAAGGCCCATGCCAAACCCAGCCCAGTGGGGCTAGCATTGCCTCATCCTTGTTACTTCAACCCTGGTGTGGGTCCCCAACACATTCACTCAGGCAGAACTGTCGTGTCTGCTTTTCAGATAGAAGGTCTGTGGCTTAGGAATTTGGTGGTTCCTCCATGTAGCTGACCAGTGGGAGACATTGCCAAGGTTCTTTCCAGATATTTCCTGTCTGTGTGCGGTGACTGGAGTATCGGGCCTGCATGGGAGAGGAGGCCCAGCAGCCTGAGTGTCTTCTTTTCCTCCCTCACCTCACCCCACCCCAGGTTCCCAGAGGACAGTGAGGATCACCCAGACTTCAGCTGTGGGAGTCTGGAAGAAGGCAGGCTCGTGGCTCGGGACTGCAGCTCTCCCAAACCCTGGGTCTGTGCCAGGAGGGTCAAGTGACTTAGTGTCCTGTGGTAGCCCTGTCTGGAGCTGCGTTCATTGCTTTTGCTTTGGTGGAACCAAAGTACCTGAAGAAATGACTTCCAGGAGGCAGAAATTACCAGGCTCGTGCTTTCAGAAGGCTGCACCTGGCAGAGCTGCTCATTCCATAGCAGCAGGAGCACGTGCCAGCAAATTCATGTTCCTGGGGGTCCAGAAGAAGAGGGAGTGCCTGAGCCAGGCCTGCCACTGTTGACGTACCTCAACAGACCAGGCTCTACCATGTAAAGCTCCCACAGTCCCCAAATCCATCACTAGGAGCTGGGGACAAGCTGATTGGGGACATTTCAGATTATTCCTGTAATGTCCCCTGAGGACTCATGACTGTCTTGTTTCATTTCTGAGACAGGATCTCTGTGCAACCCTGGTTGGCCTGGAGCTTACTGTGTGGTCAAGGGTGGCCTCAAGTTCTTGGACAACCCTCCCCAAGTACACGGTTGTATGCCACCACACCCAGCCTATGGCTAACCCCTAATGCAAAATCCATTCAGTTCAATTTTAGGAGTTAACATAGTCTTAACAGTTCCAGCATTGCTAAAAGTCCAAAGACTCCTCTGAGATCCCAAGCAAAATATTAGCTTTGAGGGGCTGGAGATGGCTCCATGGATAAGAACATTGGCTTTTCTTCCGGAGGACCGGGGTTCGATTCCCAGCATCCACATGGCATGTCTGTAACTCTAGTTCTGGGGCAACCGGCACATGCAGACAAAACAACAATGCACAAAAAAATAAAAAAATTTTAAAAAATTTTAGCTTTAAACAAATGATATACTTCTAATATGCAATAACAGAATAAAATTCCCATTCCAAGAGGGAGAGAAAGAGAGGAACTTCTGGGTTGGCCGGTGGGTTGAGGTGGATAGACCCACTCTAAATGCGATTGGCACTGTTCCATGGGCTGGGGTTGTGCTGTGAATAAAGATGAATCGAGCACCAGCTGTCTCCCTGCTTCCCTGACTGCAGCTGTGATGTTAGCAGAGGCCTCACACCCCTGCCGTGCTTCCCACTTCTTCCTTTAAGATGCTTTTGTCAGATATTTCATTGCAGCAGTGAGAAAAGTAGCTAATATATTAAACACTGTCACAGATAGTGCAGGGGCTTAGCCCACCCACGGAAGGCTGAGCTGGGCCTGAGGAAGGGTTAAGTGTGTTGCTCATCTGTTTCCCAGCCTCCCAGGATCTAGGGGACAATCAGATGCAGCAGGGAGTCTAGTCAAGCTGGAATTCATATATTGTCCCACAGCAAGCATCTTTTAAAGGAGCAACAGAGCGGGAAAACAGCCAACCATAAAGGTCAGCCTATCACATGCCTAGGTGCAGGTGCCCTATGCTTTACCTAGTGAATACGAGCTGTTCATACAGTGACCTCATCTGGTTCAATCTAGGCAACCAATCATCTTTTTTGTAAACTCAGGACTTGCCCATCTGACTTCCTCTCAGTGCCATCTCTGACTGGCTCATGTGCCCTACAGATAGAGGTTGTACCACTGGAACATTCTGTCGTGCCTTGCTCCCCAGTGTGACACTGACCCTGAAGACCTGAGCTCCACCAGCTCCCCAATGTCTTCCACGAGCTCCTAAGTGTTCCTGTCACGTGGTACCCTTCCCTGATGTTTCTCTGAAGATGAGTTTGAGGTGTGTCATACTGAATTCGTCCTTTTTAAGAATGACTTGTTGCCAGGTGGTGGTGGCACACACCTTTAGTCCCAGCACACAAGAGGCAGAGGCAGGTGGATCTCTGTGAGTTCCAGGCCAGCCAGGTCTACAAAGTGAGTTCCAGGACAACCATGGCTGTTACACAGAGAAACCCTGTCTCGGAAAAAACAACAGAAGAATGAATTGTTTCGGCTTCCTGTCCTTGTGCTGGAGACACAGCTGCATTATCCCGGCATCCCTGTACTAGAAGTCTACTGTGTGTGTCCCTCTGTCCAGCGAGCAAGAGGAAACTGTAGGGAATCATTGTCCTTACAGACTATTAGCCCAGTATTTTAGTCTTCACTGTGGGATGAATGGTGCCCCTCGAGTGTCCCTTCCCAAACTGTGGAAGGCCTAATTCCCAGTATCTGTAATGTGACCTTTTTGGACATGGAGTGATTGTGCACCATCAGGTCAACATGAGACCATTTGTGTGGCTAATGCAATGTGGCTGGTGTAAGAAGCAAGATTGATTGCTCAGTGGGTAGAAGCACTTGCTACACAGTGTCCGTTCCCACCTCGGGTCTTAAAGGTATCCATTAGTCCCTGTCCAAGGCCTGACAACAGTGGACAACCTATGCTTTGGAGAGAGGCTCGCCTCACATTGCAAAGGGATTTCTCCACCATGCACATAAATCTAAGGGTTAAGGTGTGTGTGTATAAATAAGTCCACGCATACCCCAGGGCACTCCAAACACCAATGCTAGGCAATTCCAGCCGGGGAAAACCGTCCATCTTTCATTAACAGCTCCGGTGCTCTGTCTAATATACTTCCTGTATTAACACATGTTTCCCACCACTGACCTAGTAAACTAGTTTTAATAATAACTATAAACAAGAACCAATTTTAAAGCAGAAAAGGGGAACGGGAGAGGCCTCTCTCTCCATGCCCACCTTCTTTTGAACCACTTCCTCACGGAGAGTAACAGTCACCAAATGTGCTTCACTAACTTGCCCTCAAGTCAAGAGTAGCCAACCTAAGCTGGAAGTTTCTGGCCACAAGGTCTCTGTCTTAGGCAGGCTCACGTGCCACCTCTGGACTGCTGGACGGTGGCCAGGAGTGAAGTCACACTGCAACCAAAGTGGAAACTTCCACACCACATTGGTACGGCGAACAGTAGGAATCTTCCAGGCTTCTGTTACTTCCCTTTTCTAAAGCCGAGGATAAAGGATTTACAGGGCAGCAGAGAAGAGGTTACTAGTGCTGGCCCTGGAGATGAGTGTATTCCTGGCTGACTACACTATATAGACCAGGCTGTCCTTGAACTCATGGAGATCCAGCTACCTCTGCATCCTGAGTGTTGGAATTATCTGGCCACACCTTTTTAAGTATATTTTTTGTATGTGCATGCACACACATGAATGTATGTGAAGGTCAAAGGGCCATCGGGTGTCAGTCTTCCCTCCTAGTTTGACTGCTGCATATGCCAAGTCAGCTGCCAACCAACTGCTCCTGTCTCACGGTAGCAGCCAGCACACCAGGCTTTACGTACGTTCTGGGGATTTAAACTCAGATCTTTACATTTGTATGGCAAGCACTGAGTTCTCTCTCCAACCTGTGAATACACACAACACAGATGAACCTCTAGGAGGCAGCCAGACTTGAAAGTGCCTATGATAACTGCACCGATGATACTCAAGGGGAGACAAAACTAGTTGGATATGTGGGATAAGTTTGTCAAGTTTGCTGGGTGTGTGGAATGCTGAATGTCAGTGGGCGCAAACTCCATCTCCAAGTTGTTGAAAGTAGCCTTTTAAAGCCCGGCGTTGGTGGCACACGCCTTTAATCCCAGCACTCCGGAGGCAGAGGCAGGTGGATCTCTGAGTTTGAGACCAGCCTGGTCTACAAGAGCTAGTTCCAGGACAGGCTCCAAAGCCACAGAGAAACCCTGTCTTGAAAAACCAACCAAAAAAAAAAAGAAAAAACAAAGTAGCCTTTTAGGCACTCCACCCCACCCCAGATAGGCTGTCTTCATGAACTAACTAGAACTAGCTCCGTAGACCAGGCTGGCCTCAAAATCAGAGATCCACCTGCTTCTGCCTCCTGAGTGCTGGGATTAAGGATGTGTGCCACCACTGCCCAGTCCTTTTAAGCATCTTGATTACAATTTGCCATTAAATAAACTTGGAAAAAATAGAGTTGTAGGCTCAGAGTCAGTCTGAACTGAATTCAAATCACCCAGTCTGGTCACTGATTCCCTAAACTGCTTTTTGGCTTCCTTAAACCTCAATATCTGAGAAACTATATACAACCCATCAGCTCATGGGTGTGCCTGACAGGCAGAGGTGACGTGGACAGTTCTTAGTTCTAGGGCTGTTACTCAGGCTCTAATATGTGGTAAATCTGAGGTTGCAGAGTCAGTCACCCCCATGATTCTGCCAAGCAAGCACTGCCTTCAATTCTACTGGTGCCTTGTGGCTTCCCTTGTGAAACATTCATCAGCAAGCAGAGTAGCTAGGAGAAAACCCATGTTCTGCTCTAATGCTTTAAGAACAAAGAAGGAAGCAGGATGCTCCAGAGCTACAGGTCTGTTTTGACAGCAGGACAGGAGAACTCAAGTCTTCAAGGAAGTCTGGACGCCTCAGGGCAGAAGGGCAGGTTTTCCTGCAAAGGGCCATGAGTTTGAGTAGGGGTCTTTGCTGTCCTTGAACTCACAGAGAACCACCTGCCTCCCTTAAAGGAGTGCACCACTATACCAGGCTTCTCATGACTTTTTTTTTTTTTTTTTTGGATAGGTTTCTCTGTCCCAGGCCTCACTCCAAAGAACATATTTGGCCTTAAACTCACAGGAGATTCACTTGTCTCTGCCACCAGAGTGCTGGGATTAGAGGTGTGGCTGGCTCTTGTTCTCACTTGTAAGCTCTCTCAGCAAACAATTGTGTGTGTTGCTTTCAGCCGTCTTTTGTTGGCCAAGACCTCTGTGGTGGCGAATGACCACCCAAGTGTTCTTTCCTCCATGGCTCTCAGCTCTTTTGGTAGTCCTGATTTCAGGAGCCAGCTTCTCCCAGCTCCAAAGCAGCTGCCTCTTAGAAACATGTGATTTCTCCTTCCACATGGATTGTGGGGAGTTAATTAAGGTTGTCTGGCTTGCCCAACAAAAAGTTCAGACATGGTAATTCATGCTTATAATTCCAGTACTGTGACATGGAGGAGCTCACTGGCCAGACAATCTAACCTAATTTGTAAACTCTAGGTCAATAAGACCCTGCCTCAAAGGAGATTACAACATTTCTCTCAATAACACCCGGTCCCCCAAAATAACCAGGCAGCCATGATGCAAACTATCCGATGCATGCAAATATTTCTTCAGCTATCAGAAACTTGGTATTTTTCAGATGGGGGGGGGTGTGTTCAGAGACCAAGATTCAGCATTATTAAGTTCTCAAATTTATCTCAAGATGGATTTGAACCTGCAATCCTCCTGCCTCAGTCCCCCAGTGCTGGCATAAACAAGTGTAAGCCTTCACCTTGTTTAGGAAAAAATTAAGGCAATGTAGCAATGCCATAGCAGATAACATCCTGACTGGGGTGAGGGTGGGTGGCAGGAGGGAGGAGGAGGGGGAGAGAGAGAGTCTCAAACACAGCTGACTACCAGACAGAGGAATGTGTTTCATTGTTTTACCATTTACCCACAACAACGGATTGTCTATCTCAGCAAGCTGTGTTTGTTTTTTTAGGTGTGAAATATTTTTTGTTGTTGCTGTTTTTAAGGACAGGTTTCTCTGTGTAGCCCCGGCTGTCCTGGAACTCAAGCTGTAGACCAGGCTGGCCTTCAACTAAAGGCATGCGATGCAATACCTGGCTTCTTAGAATTTAAAACAAAACAAAAAACTATTTCTAAATCTCCTCATCTACACTCCAGAGCTAAACCCAAAGTACTTGTAAAGATTTATGAAAAATATTATAGACCACTGAAATGCAATAGATATATAAACCATTCTTGGCAACAACAACAAAACTGGGCAACAGTAAAGACAGGTTTCTTAGATTAAATTACATAAACTTGTGGAAGGAAATACAACTGTAAAGAGTTCACTTGGTAAATTGGCAACTTGAGTGCCCCCACATGACCTTAAACTTGTGATTCACAAGCCTCAGCCCCACAAGTGCTCGGAGGTATCAAGCACTTGTGGGATATCAGGCACATTCCACCATGCTTTTGTTCCTTTTTGCTGTTTTTTTAAAAAAAAGTTTTAAGCTGCACCTGTGCCTATAGACCCAACACCTAGGAGGTTGAGACAGGAAGCTCAAAATTCAAAGGCAGCCAAAGATCTATACCAAGAGCTCAGCTCTAAAATGCAGAACAATCTTGGGTTGCATAGACGGACTGTCTGCTCTTTCACATTCACAAAGGGACAAATTACTGTCATCGAATTTTGGAGACTGCCCCACCACCAAAAGTTGCTGAAAAATTATTTAAACTTGGTTTGGTTGTGCACACCTGTAATCTTAACACTGAGGCGGAGACTCAAGGATCAGCAGTCCACAGTCAGCCTCAGCTACAGAGTGAATCCTAGGTCACCTTGGACTACATGAGACCTTACCCACAAAAGGTGATCTTAATATATACCGTAAATATATCTTAATATTTTGCTAGCTAATATATTGTTTCTCCTGTATTCTAGAAGGACAAAAGGCATTTGTTTAGTAGGTAGTCATTCGTAGGTAATGCAGAAACTGTTGGTTTCATTATATTGGTTACATATTGATTTTATTCAGGCTTGTCAATTAAGAAATACAAACAAGAGACTCTTAGTTGCTTCTACAGGTCCAATTTTTCCTTACAAAGCTGTTAAACACAGCTCTGAAATAGTGGAGTATAGTCAGCAAGAGATTTGGGTAGAGCAACAATTCATCTGAAATCCACAATTATATATTTACTTCCTTTGGTGCCTTGTACAGTAAGGCACTGTTAAGGATGTTACAGAATAGAGGAAAATACCACAGCAAAATAGTTCTAGTAACAACTTACTGAACAAGTTACAGTGTGATGATGGTGGTGGTGATTGTTTCTTTTCATTTTATTATCTTTACAGTAAGTATAGCCTTTATACTCCACACACAAAATAAAACAAGTGCTTATTATGAAATAGTCCCTGCCCGTCCCCCCTCAATATACTGAACATAGCAGTTTAATAGAACAGAAAAATCAAGACAAGTCTGATTTCAAATTTTCAATAAAAAAGCAAAAATATATAATGCAACAGCTGTTCAATTTCCAACTCTAATAGGCCCCAAACAAAACAGCCCTGTATAAGTTTCTCCAGCACACAATCCAGTAGAAATGCTCAACTGTGATCAACTGGTAATTGATGTGAACAGAAGCTTACAACAGAAGTTATATTGCTTCCCTGCCCCTTTTCTCTGACAGTTGGAGGCACGGGTATTAGGAGATACAAAAGAAGAATTTTAAAGAAAAATCCCCAAAGCTGCTGCTGTTTGGGATAGAAAGGAAGACAGTATTTTACAAATGTTCAAAGATTGCAAGGCATTAACACAATTCATTCACTATCACTCCTACTTGCAAGAATAGAGGTCAGCATCTTATTATATAAAACTGTACGTTCAGAACTGTATTACAGGTTCACCAGAAACTATGGATGTAGTTTTAGGCTTTATCAAGGAAAACTGGTTCAGTTCCGATCGTCAGATACTATATATCTAGCCTGTCCCCCTGAATGGCTGTAAACTAAACAATAGCATGTTAACTCCAGAGGAAGCTTAAGGATGGAAGACCACACAGCTATAGTTAGATCTCCCCTGCTTCACGCTCTTCAGAGCTCCTCCTGTCTTCTGATCTGCCATTAGCACTCTCATAGGACCGCTTCTTATCTTTTCGGTCTCGGTCACGAGGTGATCTGTCTCTTGAACTCCTGTCTCTGTCACGTGATGCTAAGTCTTGGTCTCTGAATCTTTCTTTTGAGGATCTGAAAAATATTAATTTGAGGAGCAAAATATGTTGGGACACCCAAAATCCAATGAAAGAATAGGATAAATATTAAGTTTCTGATAGCTGAAGAAACAGATTAGAATACATCTGAGAAGAGAGTTTTTTGACAGAAAAGAGACCTGGGGACACCAAAACAAGATTGGTGGCAACAAATAGCTATAGGTAAAAAGCCTAAACTAAACAATGACTTGCAAATATTCTTAGTATGAGATAACCACGAAGTTTCTCCAATTGATAAAAAAGATATTTAATATAAAAATAATGTAGAGGCAATAGCTTTTAAAAGTAAGATTGCAAATAGGATGGAAATCAATGAGTTAGTACAGAGGTCAGATATTTTGAGCTAAATGAACTGACAATAAAGATTTGGTGTTATAAATCACACACAATGTCAGAGTGTCTTTCTTTTCTATCAACTTTTAAAATGTAAAATGTAAAACCATCCATAGCTTGCTGGCTGTACAAAAACAGGCTACAGCCACATTTGTTCTATAGGCAGCACTTGCAAACCTATGTAACACAACTACTCAATATTATGGCTTTAAGTAACCATGTGCTAATTTTAAAAATCTGCTTTACTCCTCAACTGAATTCACTAAAATCAAAATGGAAGGTATAAAAAACTGATTATACCATAATAAATACTAACTACCCCTAATACTATCCCTATTCTCATACTCATCTTCAAAAAAAGGTACATAAACAAAACACCCTCATATCAGAAATGCAACGGGGGGGGGAGGGGGGGCAACGACAGGACGGGACAAAACAACAAAAGAACCCAAAAGAACACAAAGACATTATATAGACTCTAACTATATTGGTTAGCATAGAGTATATACTTTGAACACCTAAAATGAATTAACAACAAATATTACATTTATTTTGTTCTTTACAGGTGATACAGAATGTTTATACATAATTTATCTCAACAAAGGATTAGAAATACCATCAGAGGCACTGCCAAGTCCTACATTAATACTTTTTTTTTGTTAAGAGTTGGGAATTTAAACCTAGGGCCTCAATATGCTAAGTTTGCATGCTACTAGCCCTGAAAAAGCAATACTTATATGTTTCAGAAAAACATAAGGTAAGATAAAAACACTACTATAACCAGTTTTAAAAATATAGATAAGGAGAGCATTGTAATTTAGATATAAAACAGTCCAAAAGGCTCATGAACTATAGACTTGAAACTGGTGGGTGGTGCTACAGAAAATGCGACGAGGTCATGAAGACAGTAGGTCAATGAACGAATCCACTGTAAGTTCACAGCTAAACAGTCATGAAGGGGTGGATTCTGGCAGGAGGAAACAGCTGAGGAGGAGAGGGTCTTCTTACATTATGTCCCTGACCCCTGTGTGCTCTGTTCCTTCTGGCATCCACAAGGTGAACCACTTTACTCCATTACAGGCTCCTCACCCTCATGCTCTGGTTCACCAGAGGCAATGAACTGAAATCTCACAAAGTGTGAGTTAAAAACTCCTTCCTCTCATAATTGTTTTCAAGTGCTTTGTCATAATACAAAGGTATGGTAACACAGATGATTAAAATAGAAGCTTGAAAACCCACACCACTTGAGAGTTATATGTCTTTGCCCCTTTTTTTTGTTTTCTGAGTCAAGATCTTTCTTCCTAGCCCAAGCTGGCCTCAATCTGTGGCAAGCCTCCTGCCTCAGCCACTAGAGTGTTAGCATTACAGGAGTTCCTGCTAAATAAGCATTTTAAAAAAAAAATGCTTTAAAGAAAGAAGAAAAAAAAAAGTCACACTCCAAGTCTACACAGTCTCTAATAATGATGATAGAAATGATCAATAAAACAATGACATTAGATACTGGCAAGTCCCTGAGGTCAGTGACAGTAACTGAAAAAGATATGAATTAATGTTTGTACAAGATTACAACTGTCCTACATGGTTTGTGTTACTACTGAAAGCCTAATGAGCCAAATATTCCAATTACCTCTATTTATTTGGCAAAGGATTCTGAACCCAAGTAGTCTGACTTTGAAGTCTGTACTACATGACAGATCACCCCAAAAAGCACAAACTTGCTAAAAGTCCTCACTGACCTGTGGGAACTGTTGCCAAGACAAGGTTCAATTAGAAACTCACTTGTAGCAGAGACCAGTACTTCACAGCAAGAGCAAGAAAACAGCAAAATGTCAAGACTTTTAATGCACTCTTTTACCATCAAAAACTAAATTCACATATGTACCAATAATTTGATGTTATATATATATATATATATATGAAATAACAATTAGCAATTATTTGCTTTGTTTTAAAAACAATGTTTTAAATGTAATTTGAATTCAAAGATATTGAAATACTCTTGAGAAAAGCAAAAACTTTTAATAGTTTTACAAAAATAATCTTCTTTTGAACATGCTGAATATGGTGGGAAGTTTTCCTACATAAATAAACTTCACAAGTGCAGGAAGCATCAAGATGACACAATGATAGGACAAGACTGCCCACCCATCCCTCCCATCTTCACTACCAATAAAGATATGTAAGAGAACACCAGAAAAATGACAGCTGGGCAGTTCAACACAGCATCATCCAGATCCTTTATCACCTAGCTACAGTTCTCAGACTTAGTGTGCAGATCTTGAGTCATCAAGAACATTTGAAGACAATGCCTGTTTCTCAACACTGCACTGAGGACAGCCTCCAAATTCCAGTTTCAAAATGTGAGAAAAAGACCTACAGGTATTTTCCTACTTCTTTAATTACAACCATTTATTCACTGATCCATTATCTGAAACCATTTTTAAAAATCACTCTGAAATTCTCATCATCTAAATTTGTAATTCACCCTATGATATCCAGTTTAGCACTTGATAATCTGTGGTCAAGTATGTTCCCACACAGAAAACTCCTTAGAGCACATGAATATGGTTGTTTACATATGCTTTTTTTTTTTTGTTTTTTTGTTTTTTACTATTTTTTAACTAAGCCTAGCACAGAGGAAAGTTACCTAATTCTTAAAGCCAGGCAAGGTGTTATATGTCTATAATCCCAGCACTCAAGAGGAAGCTGAGGCAAAAGGATTATGACTCTGAGGCCAGTGTGGGCTGCAAAAGACCCTGTCTGCGCCAAAACTGACTTTTCCCCTACCCTCCCCCCCCACAAAAAAATAAACCAGTTAGAATCACGTGAAGGTCTACTTAGAACAAGGGCAGAAATATACAAAATAAAATGTTGACTGAAAGCCTAGCCTATTAAGAAACTGAACTTGTGATTTCAGGGAATGGGTAATTCAATCTAAAACAAAGATTTTTGCCAGCTTTCTGTGGATTCAACTATGAACTTTATGTCACAGAAAGCCCAAGACTAGAAACTAGGTACTCCCAAAGTGTTTCTCCCACATAACCTTAAGCAAGGTTATCAAGGAGGGAAAAGTAATTTTAAGTACAATTCAGGCTCCAGGATGATCGTGTGACCTGAGTTTTGGGAACTTACACCCCACTGAATTCTAACCCTTAGTCTGCTCTCACTAGATAATCAGCTCCAGTGTCTGCTCTCATTTTATCTTTTGACGTTTCTTGCTTTACTAAGAAGTGCTATAGCTTCCTCAAAACTCAGAATCTTCCTATCACACTAAACGTGAACACAAAGTGTATGTTTTACACTGCAAATTAAACAACATTGTAGAATGTGTTTGCTCTTTAGAAGGGCACCAGCTCCAAGTTTGGAAAACAGGCAAACAAAGCTAAATAATTCATTTAATGAAAGGACTTCACAGAGCCCCTAATTTGTTAATACATATTGGAAAACAAAGAATCTCCACAACCTCGTTGAGTATTAGTACCTAAAATTACTTGCCTGTAAAATAGTTTGTTTATATCAGCATCCCTCCCACCTCCCCAACAACCCAAGTAAAAGCAAAAACCTCTGCACATACTGGCTCCAATTTCTTACTCTGGCTCACACATAACTCTGCATGAACTACCCATACAATCAGAAAAAAAAATGTATACACCTACAATTGAGTACATATCAATACCAGGTGCAAGTTTCAAACCAATAATCTAAGCATAAGTAACATAAGTAAACAAAAGGCTTAAACATAAAGGTAGCTCTGCATCCTCTGATCGGCACTTCAGTACCTCCTCTTGGATCGCTCTCTGCTTCTATCTCTAGAACTGTGCCGACTTCTCTGGTGGCTGCGGCTGCGGCTGCGGCTACTAGAACGGGACCTGTGGCGATGTCGTTTTTCCCGAGACTTGGATCGAGTCCTCCTCTTGCGTTCTCGAGACATGGAGCGAGATCGGTGTCTGCGATGCTCTCTAGATCTAGATCTACAAGAAAATAATGAAATTATTGTTAGTGCTAAAATTCTTTTTAAAAGAATATACCTTTTTTTCTTCTTAAAAAGTCATGTGTGAGCCAGGCTGTGGCGGCCCATGCTTTTAATCCCAGCACTCAGGAGGCAGAGGCAGATGGATCTCGGTGAGTTTGAGGCTAGCCTGGGCTACAAAGCAAATTCCAGGACAACACTATCTTGAAAAACCAAAAAAAAAAAAAAAAAAAAAAAAAAAAAAAGGGGGGGGGGGAGTGATGTAGTGATGTGTATATGCATGGACATGTCATGGGACATAAGGAAAGGTCAGGGGATCAGGGGACAGACTTTCTTTCCACAGTGTGAGACCCAAGAACTGAACTCAGGGTATCAGGCTTGATGGTAGGTACCTTTCACCAGTCAGACCATCTTGTCAGGACTGAGATTCAATAGCTATACTTGATGTCAATTAGGGTCTAAATAAACTATACGTACATGGAGATAGATCGCTAGTATAGTAATGACACTAGGATTTCAAAATAAAAAATACAGCACTAATTTTCAGAAGTCAACCAATACTGCATAAGTTTGTCAGTTAACCAGGCATGTAGTGAAGTGGGAAAGTGGAAAATAATATAGAAACGATGAGACAAAAGGATGGATTGTTAAGTCTACTTATGAACAACTACTGCTCTTAAATTTTTACATTAGTATGGGTTTTTGTATACTGATAACAAATTTAAGGTTATTTCCGTTATACTGTACGTATGCTTAGACTCTTATTTAAGATACTGTACCTATGCAACTCATTTTAAAAGGTTATGTAAACTTTTCGTCTTGGAAAGCTATTTAGGATAATAATGAAATACAGGTGAGCAATTAGTCATCTATGTCAATCAAACTCAGTCATGTTAGGCATGCTTTCAAGGTCTAACAGATATTCCAAATAGGTGGTCTTCAAACACTTCAAAGACCTACAGAATATGGCATTTAACCTGTTTTAATAACAACACTTTTCATGACAGCGAGACACATCTGCACCTGGCAGCACCAATGTACCTCATAAAAGGATGATAGGCATCAAAGAACTTGTCTATGGAGTTTTCTTTCAGTGTGCCAACACTAGCCATCTGGGCAAGAAACTGTTCTTGCCTTGACTGTTTAAGTATGCTGTCCAAACTAGACAAGCAGGACACCACAAAAAGTGAATACCAAAATTTACCAAGACAAGGAAAGATAGTCCTTCAAAGTTCCTGCTTTACAAAAATGCCTGTCAAATATTCTAGGCCTGTAGGTCAAAGATAGATGCACCAACGTTACAGATGAACTGTTCAAGCAGCCCCAAGGAAGTTGTTTGCTCTGTGCTTTCTGTTTACTCAAGCAATAGTTTATCCTTCTCAGGTCTGTGATGGAGTTGAAGACAAGATAGTTATAATTACAAATATACCAAATATTTGTATTTGGTACCAAATATACAGGTTGAAAAACATAAAAGCTTAAGTTGCTTATCAGGATGTTTTTAGATCTAGGGAGGTATTTTTAGGATGGTAATACAAGTTATGACAAAAAATGGTTCATGCATAAAACTATGGGCTAAAATACGATAGATAATATAGTAAGTACTTTCTCAAAATTTCCCAAACACAAATGGACTAGACATTGTGGATATAATTCTTACCTGATAATTGTTCTTATTGTATATAGCTTTGTTGTGTTAGTTAAAACCTGTCCTTTTCATTTAGACAAAAGGGGAGAGGGGCTAAAGAGATGGCTCAGAGGTTAAGAGCACTGATGGCTCTTTCAGAGGCCCTGAGTTCAATTCCCAACAAATGGTGGCTCACAACCATCTAATGAGATCTGGTGCTCTATTCTGGTCTGAGGCATACATGCAGGCAGAATAGTGTATACATAATAAATAAATAAATCTTAAAAAAAAAGAAATTAAAAAACAAGGGGGGTGTTATGGGATAAACTTTTTGAACACTGTGAGGATGGGTCACTCTGATTGATTTAATAAAAAGGTGAATGGCCCAATAGCTAGGCAGGACCTCCAGGCACACAGGATGCTGGAAAGAAGGGCAGAGGGGAAGAGACAGAGGAAGTAGAGAAGCAGGATGAACAGTATGTAGAGGAGATAAACGAGCCTGAGACAGCATAGAGATTAATAGAAATAGGTTAAGTTATAAGAACTAGGTAAAAACAAGCCTAAGCTATCAGCCAACCTTTCATACTTAAGTCTCCATGTGGTTATTTGGGAGCTGGCAGGCAGGATGCTAAAGGTTCTCTCAAGAACAAGTGCTCCTGTCCAGTGAGTCATCGCTCTAGCTCATATACACAATTTTTGTTTTGTTTTGTTTGAAACAGGGTTTCTCTGTGTAGCTCTGGAGACCAGGCTGGCCTTGAACTGACAAGAGATCTGCCTGCCTCTGCCTCCCAAGTGCTGGGACTAAAGGCATGCACCGCCACCACCCCAGCTATAAACATGAATTTTAAACCACTTAGCTCCAGTGTGTATTATAATCAACTAAGGTACATATTATAGACTTCAATAAAAGTTTCTTTAACTACACTTACTATGTGTAGCTGTGGATGGCATTGATTTTCTGCCCCTTGGGCAATGGAATTACAGGCAAATACTGGGGTTATAGGGAAACTTGGCTCTGAAGAGAGTATTTCTAAAAAGGGACACAAGAAAGCTGTCTTGTTTAATCCATCTATTATGAGAGAAACATCAACCTATTTACCTATGTATCTGTCATGAGAGACCTGCCTACCTACCTATCTAACACGAGAAAAACAGCACCAGGAATGATGGTACATATATGAAACCCTCACACTTGGAAGGCACAGGTAGGCAGATTGCTATGAGTCTGAGATTAAGCTGGGATATACATGGGAAGACCAGACCAAACAGTGACACCCTGTCTCAAAGTGAAACAGGGTGGGTTAGTAATCAAAAGCACTGGTTATTCTGGAAGGAAATCCAGGTTCAATTCCAGTACCAACATGGTGGCTCACAAGCATCTGTAACTCCAGTTCCAAGGGATCTAGACACTCTCTTATAAACTCCATGGACACTAGGCATGCACATGGTACAGATACATGGAGATAAAATACCATACACTGATAAAATAATCTGAAAGAAAAAAAAATCTACTCAAAAGATGTTTCATCAAATGGTATTTAACCCATTCATTTTGAACTAGTTAACCTATTTCTACCTATTTCATCTAATAAGTAATTTAATTCAACTTTTTTAAATGTCTAGATAATAATTATTCATGTAAAATATATTTACTAGGTACGAGCAGTCTTGCCCATAAGCTAGTAGTAAACGCTGTTGATCTAGCCGGTGGCTCACAACCATCCATTATGAGATATGGTGCCCTCTTCTGGTGTGCAGATATACATGGAAGCAGAATGTTGTATACATAATAAATAAATAAAATCTTTAAAAAAAGAAAAAAAAAGAGGAGCTTACTAAACACACACACACACACACACACACACACACACACACACACACACACACAGTACATAGCCCATTGCAACTTTTTAGTTACAAGGGAAAAAGAACAGTAAAATCAAATCAAGTCTCTGGACTGTTGGAGTATATAGTCTAGAAACAAGTATCTAGAGATCTACCTCTAGTAAAGAAATAAATAAATGAAGAAATGGGTAGTAATAGTTTATATAAAGCAGGCAGTAAAGGATTTTCTGACAGGATGGCATTTCAGCAAAGATTGAAAAAGAGAAGAAACAAATCAGTCCACTTAGAGAAGGGCACCCAGATATAAAGTTCTGCCATGAGAGCAAGTTCAACATATTGAAGGCACAGAAGAAACCTATCTGACTACAATGAAGGGAATCAACAGGACCAACATAAAGGATCAAGTGTTTCATCATTCTAACCAGGAAGCTAAGTGGCCTATTACATAAAGTAAATGGGGAAGTATTTTTGTGTGACAAGAAATATAAACAACTATCTCAGGATACACTGGAACACATACATAAACACCCCACTAAGGATTTAAGAGTCAGATGTGGTGGTACACAACTATAATCTCATCATTAAGAATACAAAAGTAGAAGGATAATGAATTCAAATAAGACCCTGCCTGGAAAAACAATTAACTAGGTATGTTGACACATGCCTGATACCATCCTAACAGGTCCAGAAGACAAACTGGAGCCAACCAGGGCTACACAGTATCAAAAACAAAACCCATACAGTAACAACAAAATCCCCAGCTAGCTGGCTAACCTATTTGTATTGCCAACTGATATGTTGGGATATCCTTTTTGTGTTGTTGTTTTTTTAAATGGACTACTCAAATTGATTTATTTTTTCAAACTGCCTTTAAAGAAAAAAAAATAAAAAATAAAAAATCCTGGGCTGGAAATATCCTGGGCTGCTCAGAGGTTAAGAACACTGGCTATTCTTCCAGAGGACCCAGGTTCAATTCCTAGCACCCACATGGCAGCTTGTAACTGTCTAACTCTAAAATCTGACACCCTCACACAGACATACATTCAGGTAAAACATAAAATAAAAAATTAAATAAAAATATCCTGTCATACTTACTGAATTTCTAGAAGATTTTTAAAGAAACATAAAGATCAAGCCTGAACTAACAGAGTCAGTGATAATTTCTTTTTTGTTTTTTGAGACAGGGTTTCTCTGTGTAGCCCTGGCTGTCCTGCAACTCGCCTATACCTCCTAAGTGCTGGGATTAAGGTGTGCGCCACCACTGCCTGGCTCAGCTCAGTCAGTGATAATTTATTAATTCTCATTGAAATTTAAGAGATACATAATCTAAAAAACATACATTTGAAAAAAATACAACTTCACTATTTTAACCATCTTCTACAGCACCTACCTTTTGGGATTCTTGCTATGTGAACGGGACCTAAAAAAAGAATATCTACTTTTAGAAAAGTGACTATATAAATTTTTTAAGCTGGCACAATGTGCTTCTAAATGACATTCTTCTTGAGTTCTGACTTTCATGTTACCTTCTACAAAAACAAGGCATATACTTATGCATCAGTGTCTCCACACAGGGGAAAAAAACTGCAGAATTCTCTGCCTTGTCACAGAAGTTTCAACTAGATACCCGACTTAGGAAAGAATATACTTCTGGAGACAAACTAAAACAACAGAAACAAACACCTATTTTTTTTCTATATGTTTCAAACTGTGCTTTGTCTTCTGGGAACAAAGAAAAATGTCTCAAGATCTAAAATGCCCATTTTTCACCTACAACCTCATACTATAGTACCAGAAAGATGAACTCAACTTTACATCTTTGTCCACTGACATGAATTGTATTCTTTAATTCTTTAATTCTTTAAAAGGAGAAAGTGTGTGAGTGAGTGTGTGTGTGTGTGTGTGTGTGTGGGTGTGTGTGTGTGTGTGTGTGTACACGTGAACATGAGTATGCAAGACTCATAAGGCTAGAAGCATTGGATCCCCTGAAGCTGGAGTCACAGAACATTGTTACTTGCCCAATGTGTATGCTGGCAAACTGAACTCAGTTCCTCTGGAAGAGCAGTACATGTTCTAAATCACTAAGCCAACTCTCTCCAAAATGATTGTAGTGCCACCTTGCCTTGCCAGTGAACTTGTGGTGGTGGCCACACCCTCTGGGTGTGGTTTCAGGTGCAGATGTGACCCCATTATAAGGTAGAGAAGATGCTGCCCTTCTGATGCTCTCCACAAGCATGAGGCAGCTGGTCTTCCACATTATAATGGATCACCTGAAACCAAAAGGTGTGCCAACCACCACAAGTTCACTGGCAAGCTGCCACTACAATTATGTTCTTCATTTTTTAAAAACTGTGTGTTTGTCTGAATATGTGTGTGTTAACCACGTGCGTGTCTGAAGTTAAAAGAGGCTGGATCCCAGAACTGGAGATATGGATCACTGTGAGCCACCCATGTGGGTGCTGCTGTTAAACTGCTGAGCCATCTCTCTCCCACCTCCAAATGATGTATCACAACTCTTGACATTTTCCAGTACAGTGTTAGCACTCAATAAACAATTCCATCATCAGTACAACACTTCATGGGTTTAGTGTGTGTGCATATTTTAAAGTATGCTTTGGGCTGTATTAACATGTTTTTATCCATTCACTATCTGTGCAACCAGGGAAAATGTATATATCCTCCTTTAGTTTAATCTATCAATTTTAAGACAGGAATAGCAATATAAATGTCATTACATATGAAATGTCCCACAAAAAGTTAATGTGCTGATGATCTGATCAACTGGTACTTCTAATCATCCAGAGCTAATTGGATCATAAGGACTCTTGCCCAATCAAAGGATAAATTAATCTACATTTTTTTTCAAAATGTGTGCATGTATACCCGATGCATGTGGATACCTGTGAAAGCCAGGTGTTGGATCCCATGGAGTTGGAGTTATAAGCAGTTGTGAACTGCTCAATGGGGCTGCTGGGAATTGAACTCAGTCTCCTGAAAGAGCAGCGATTACCCTTAGCCATATCTCCAGCCCCAAAAACAGATCCTTAATTTGATGGTACTGTTGCTGGGTCATAGAAACCAGTAGGTGAGACCTAGTTCAAAGAAGCAGGTTCTCTGAAGGGAGACTCTTGCTGGACCTATCCTGTCAAGTCACTATGCTTGCTGACCTTGCAGAAAGCAGCTTTTCTCTACCATGAGCCTTTGTATCTTTCAGTCACTATGATGTTCTGTTTAACCACAGGCCCACAGCAATGGAACCAGTAAACCAGGTGCTGAAACTTCTGACTCCATGAGTCTAAATAAACCTTTCTTCTTTTAAACTGTTTTCTCAAGTATTTTCATTTTTTTTATAAGTATTTTCTAACACCAGATAAACTAAGGCAAATTTCTTAACACAGAGCCTGACATATAAATAGCTAGCAAGTGACATACACTTTTAGTTGATTATATCAGGAGCAATAAAAAACCAGCCTGTATAATTTTATACTATTTTCTAACTTCTTATGAACATATTTACAGTACTAACTCAATTTCATAGCTCTTAAAAGGAAAAAACTGCTTCAACTTTTGTTTTGTTTTGAGCCAGTCTTATACTATACGCCAGGTTAGTTCTGAACTAGGTATTCTGAGTGCTGAGATTACAGATATGAACCAAAACACCTGCTTTGTTTTTTTAGGGATGAGGACTCACTATATAACTCTACATAGCCCAAGCAAGCCTCAAGGGTACAGATCCTCTAACTTCAGATTGCTATGTGCTGGAATTACAGGTATGCACCACCGTGCCCAGCTAAATATTTCTCCAATAGTGTTACACTTGCAATCAAAAGGAGTAAGAGATGATCGACTTTCTCCTTTCTCACCATCTACAGATACTATAGCCCTATAAAAAAAAAAAAAAAAAAAAGTGAGGTGGCAGGCAGTGGTGCCACACACCTGTAATCCCACACTTGGGAGGCAGAGGCAAGGGGATTTCTGTGAGTTGGAAGCCAACCTGGTCTACAGAGCAAAGAGCAGTACAGCCAGGACTACATAGAGAAACACTGTCATTTGAAAGAGAGGTTATCTGACTATCTCAGTTGAATCTTAAATTGAGAATTCTGACACTATATAAAATGCTCATCTAAATGATGCCACACTGAATAATAGCCCTAGAAAAACACAGCCTAGGTCTGAGCAAAGTGACAAGTGCTAGCACCAAGGCAGTTGGCCTGAGTTACTCAACAAAACCTAGGCTCAACAACCAAGTAAGGTAGATATGGTGACACACATTCCTTTAAGAGTTACGGGTGGCGGGGGGTGGAGGAACGACGGGACGGACGGACCTTGGGCCACGAGGCGCTGGAGAGATGGTTTGGAGATTAAGAGGATCTGAGTTCAATTCCCAGCAACCACATGGTGGCTCACAACCATCTATAATGAGATCTGGTGTCTTCCTCTGGTGTGCAAGGAGACATGTAGATAACTGTATACATAATAAATAAAATTTACAGAGGATAACTTACAGAGGATAACCTCTGTAAATTCAAGGCCAGTCCGATCTACAGAGAGTTCCAGAACAGCTAGGGATACAGAGACCTTGTCTCAGTAGTAGTAGTAGTAGTAGTAGTAGTAGTAATAATAATAATAATAATAATAATAATAATAATAATAATAATAATAATAGCAATAATAATGCAACAAGAGACCTTGCCTCAGTAACTTGAAAGACAAGAACCAATTCCAGAAAAAGTCCTCTGACTTACACATACCCCACTACACAAAGATACTAATACCCCCCCCCACAAAAACAGAAAAAAAATGGGGTGGGGGTAGCACACAACCTCAGCATACACTACAAAGAGGTTAAGTCCTAAAATAAAACCTGTTAAATGGGAAAAAAAATCAGGGAGAGAGAAATGGGGGAGAGGGTGAGACAGTAAGAGAAAGAAAAAGGATTTCTCAAAACAGCAGCAGTGTACTGTTTTGTCCTCAAAATGAAAAAAGACTGCCAGTGAAGTGGCCCAGTGAAAAGGCCTTGCCATAAAAGCCTGGGGGCCTCAGTTCAGCTCCCATGGTGAATGTCCTGACTTCCACTTGAGCAGTGTGAGACCCACTTGTCTGCCATGTGTGAGCAAGTGCACGAGCACGCTGGTACCCAGAGCTGTGACACAAAGTAAAGCTCACCTAAACTGAGAATAATATGCTCAGAGCTTTTGAGGAAGCACAAACAATAATTATCACAGGGACTCACATTATCTCTGAAAGAATATATTTAAGTTCCCAAGATACATTTCATGACTGTGATAACATGAAGGGCTAATGGCTGACTGTGAGGGCGGATGAATGCAATCAGGGGAGCACGATAAACCAACAGAGGCAAGTTTCTTTGTGGCATGTGCTTAAACATGTTGCCAATGGCAACACTGATTTATAAGGATGTTTAAACACTCTAAATATGAAAATACTCAATTTAGCAATCAATGAGTTAATATAAACAGACTTGCTGTGTCAAGTTAATGAATTCTTATAATCTATGGCAAAAATGGGTGTGGTGGCATAGGGGAGGAAGGGGCCAGCCAGGACCACACGGATAAACCCTGTTTTGAAAAGCAATACAAAAGACAAAATAATAACAATAATGATGATGATGACAATAATTGCTGACACCCACAACTTGAGAAAGTAGTAATAGCTTAATATAAAATTAAAAGCTCCAAATGTTTCCTCAAAAAGCATAAAAGGTGGCATACTGGAGTGTTTGTCTAGCATGCACCAAGCCTGGGCTCAAGACCCAACACCACCAGCAAAAAGAAACAAAAGACCACACACAGTTCCTCACTAAGAAGCTACAAAATGAATATATATAAAATACCAGTATAAAATACCAATGAGTAGTAAGAGGTTTTACTGTAATTCATCCAACCCAAAGACATGAGACAGCCCTTACTCACTTCTCCACAATCTTTACAAGTCCCATCAGTTCAGTAGACTGCCTAAAAGCCCTGAAAGGCTGAACACCCCAGCATGAAAATGGGAAATCCAGACATGATACTCAAAAACTGTGGTTTCCGGATCATTACAGATTTTTTAATTAGCGATGCTGGTAAGGCTTGTTTACTCACAGGCTCTCTAATTCACAAACTCCACATTTTGAAACATTTCTGATTTAAAGCATTTCGGATAAATATAAGCTATTGAATTTGTATTATTTCTATCAAAATGGTTTTGCTTTTGTTTATTTGTTTTCTGAGACACTGTTTCTCTGTCGCGCTGGCTGTCCTAAAACACACTATGAGGACCAGGCTGGCCTCAAATTCACAGAGACTGCCTGCCTCTGTTTCCTGATTCCGGGGATTAAAGGCGTGCGCCACCACAGCCCAGCCTTACAACTCTTTTGATTAGCTTTTTCTAAAGCTCTGACCGTCTTATTCTGTCTTCATGTCAAGTAGTATCTCTAATTGGTTTTTAAATTGTTACATTTTAATTTATTCTCTTTTGTCACCCATACAGTACACAATACCATGCTCTTAGAAGTCAGGGGACAACTTTTGGGAACTGGTTTGTCTTCCACTTTGTGGGTCTCTGGGATTGAGAGCGACAATGCCCAGCTTGCATGGTAACATTTTTGAAAGGCAAGAATTTCAGAATTTCCATGCCCAGAACCAGTTCAATTACATCTTCAAAACATATTTCCTTCAGGCTGAAGACTGAGCTTCAAACACACGCACTATTTCTGACACTGTACAAACCTCCTCAGTTTCTCCCGTTCTTCTCTCTCCCTCTCTTCTCTTCGTTTCAGACGTTCCTGGTTTCTTTTCTCCTGCTTCTCAGCTACAACTCTCTTTAAAATGAAATAATTTAAAAATCAGTTGTAAGTTTACTGGGCAAATCCGTAATTATCTTTACCTTAAACTATATCTGGTTTCCCATATAGTAAAATTAGCATAATTTAAAATTTTGTCAAATTTTAAATTGACTCAATTTAAAATTAGACTCAAATTGGCTTTCCAGAACTGTGGAAAACATGTTAACACTTCATTTTTCACTATGATTTCTTTTTTTCAAGCATGAAAGGCAAGCATGCTACCACAGAGCTTCAGCCCTGCCCCCATCATTCCTTAATGATATTTAAAAAAGAAAACAAAAACAAAACCACAGGCTTGAGAGATGGCTCAAAGGTTAAGAGCATTCATTAACTGTTCTTTCAGAGGTTCCGAGTTCAACTCCCAACAACCACATGGTGGCTCACAACATGTATAAGATCTGAAGCCTTATTCTGGCATGCAGGCAAACAATCAAACAGAACACTGTATAATAAATAAATGAATCATAAAAAAAAAAAATCACATCCACTTGACCTTCCCTGTCTCTCAGCATTAGCATACATTTTAAACGGCTTCACTATTGCTGAATCAGAACAAACAGTACTATTCAAAAACTAAGTGTAACTACAGTGGTTAAAGACAAGCTGAGACAAGAGAGCTGCCAGCAGTTCAAGACCAGCCAGAGCTACACATTGAGACCTTGCTAATGAAACCAAAAGAAAAATAACAGAACCAGGTTAACAAGGATAAAGTGAGAAATATTAATTTATACAAGGTACCTTTAATTCTTCGAGCTTTTCTCTTATTTCAATAAATCCCAGGTGCAGTTTACCCCCAAAATGATCAGCAAGTCGCCTGTCATTATCATGAAGACCTAAATATGCAGAACAGACTTCACAGACTCGAAGTTTCTGCTGCTGGAAACTGGAAGCTGGCATAGAATTTCGATAAACTTCCTAAAAAAGTGAGAAAAAAAATCTCACAAATGACCTTAAAAGTTCTATAAGAAAATAAACTATATACACAAAGAATGTTTTCTAATAAATTCTTTGAGAGAGCACTCTGGTGAAGGCCAAAGCTTCACCTACCCTTTACTCCCCCAGTCCCCAAGACAACCCATGAAAGAAAACGTTAACCTCCATAAGGGTTCTGATGACTTGTTCCAAAATGTTTTCGTCAGTGAACAAAACACACTGGTAAACTTGCCAACCCACTATCCTCTTTTCCTTTACAAAGATAATTGTGGATTTTTTTTAAAGCAGTTAAAAATATTTTTTCCAAGAGTCTTTGTAGTTCAGCTAGGATGATACTGATTTAAAAAAAAAAGAAAAAGAAAAGAAAGAAAAAAGCTGGACATAATGTACAGACAAGTTCTTCAAAAGAGAATTGAAGCAGAAATCATCAAAGAGAGAACTGAGGAACTTAATTGTATGTGCTGGTCCTACAACCCTGAAGATCTGAGTTTGATCCTCATAACCAAAGTTAAAAACAACAATAAAACTGCCAGAGCTGGAAAGATGGATTGGTGGGTAAAGACACTTTTTGCCAAGCCTGATGGCCGAATTTCAATTCCCAAGACCCACGTTGTAAAAGGAAAGCAAGGCAGAAAAAAAAGAAATCTTTACACACCAGTGCCATGGCATGTGTCCTCCCCTCAAAAGGCGGGCATGGTGATGGGTGGTTGTAATTTTAACAACCAAGAGATTAAGGACAAGTGGATGGATCTCAGGGACTGACTGGCTTGGCTTGGCTAGCCAGGTTGTCTACTTGACAAATTACAGGCAATTGAGAGACTATGTCTCAAAATAAAAAGGCAGCAAGACAGCTCCTAGCACTATACTCTGTTTTCCACTCACATGTATACACATTAATGTGGACCCACATATGAGAATATACATTTATATACACAGACCAGTGCAAACAACCAAATGCACACACACACACACACACACACACACACACACACACACACACACACACACACACACACACACACACAAAAATCACCAAAACCTCCAAACAAAAATAAAAAGGGGCTGGAGAGATGGCTTAGTGGTTAAGAGCACTGTGTTTACTCTTCCAGAGGAACTGGGTTCTCTTTAGCAGCCAAATGACAGCTTACAATTATCATAACTCCAAGCCAAAGGTATATATAGCCTTCTTTCAGACTCTGGGCACCAGGTAAGTACAAAGTGGAGATATATTCATATAGGCAAAACACCTATACATATAAAACAATGTGTGCCCGGCAGTGGCACACACCTTTAATACCGGCACTTGGGAGTTCCAGAACAACCAGAGCTACACAGAAATACCCTGTCTCAAAAAAAAGGGGGGCCGGGCGTTGGTGGCACGCCTTTAATCCCAGCACTCGGGAGGCAGAGGCAGGCGGATCTCTGTGAGTTCGAGACCAGCGTGGTCTCCAGAGTGCCAGGATAGGCTCCAAAGCTACACAGAGAAACCCTGTCTCAAAAAACAAACAAACAAAAAAGATACACAACTATCCTAAAGTTACTAAAATTGCTTCCTTCTGCTCGGCTTTTCCACATTAGTTTGAAGAACAGAACAGAACAGAACAGAACAGAACAGAACAGAATGTGTGTCACATCAGTTTGAATCTTGTCACAACAAACCCTGCCATCTTTTTATTTCAAGACAGAGTCTCAATAAATAGGTTGGTTGGTTACAAATCTATGACTTCTTACTCAGCTCTCCAACTGCTAGAATTGTAGGCGTGATTCATTTTATGTGCAACTCTGTACTGCTAAGAACGAAAGTATTTTAAATTCTGAGTTTAGCCGGGCGTTGGTGACACACATCTAATCCCAGCACTTGGGAGGTAGAGGCAGGCGATCTCTGTGAGTTCAAGGATAGCCTGGTCTCCAAAGCCACACAGAGAAACCCTGTTTTGAAAAGCAAACAACAAAACAAAACAAAGAAATTCTAGGTTTAAGAATTAAAAAAAGGAACGAAGAGAAAAGGAATAGTTCCCAGAGTTAAGAAGGCAGAGATCATCATGAAACAATCTAGATGTCATTGGTTGAGGCGAAAAGGCACTACAGCAAAAGACGTTATCTACCAAATACAATCTACCAAATACATCTGAGTTTTCACACATCAGGGACTATACCGACCAAAACAGAGTTTATTTACATTGTTAGATTTTTGAGTGTGCCATAAAATTAGATGAGAGAAGGCCCCCAAGGTAATAGTAGACTGTACTGCTATGGTAAGTAAAACTATCGAGAAAAAGGGTAGGTGGGAACAGTGTATATATGTGTTTGCTTAATGTGGGTAATTGGTTAAATTATATTTATGAAGTTGTAAATTTCAATGTAGTTATGACCCCAATTTTCCAAAAACTACTTTAAAACAACCCAACATCGTTAACACCAATTACTTAAGTATTTCTAAATTGTTTTAATTTCCTTTACATTTTGAATAATTTCCAGTTGAATATCTATTTTATAAAAAAGTACAGACACTAACATTTTACACTATTGGGAACCTATCTCTTTCCCAGATAGCTGGGTCTCACAATGAGACCTTGTCTCAAAACAGCATAGAGAAAGGAATCTTACCTCTGCCTCTCTTTTCTTTGCTCGTGCTTTCTCGACTTCATCCATGACTTTCTGAGACTCCTCCACATTTCCTTCAGCTCCGAGTTGTTCCACTTTGGCCAACAATTTCCCTATTTCTTCATTTAACTCATGAACACGCTCTGCCTAGGAAAACAAAGAAGAAGACCATGAATGAAAAAGAGAATGAAGGGCTGAAAAGATAACTCACCAGTTAAAATCACTGGTGGCTCTTCTAGAGAACCTGGGTTCAATTCCCAGCACCCACACTACAGCTAACAATCATCTGTAACTCTAGTTGCATGAAATCCAATACCTATTCTGGCACTAGGCCCGGGTATGATGCACAGACATGTATGGAGGCAAAACACATTTTTTTGTTTTTTATGTATACACAAAACCATTTGTGTATACATAAAAAAATTGAAAGGAGCATAAACAATGTATTTCAGAAACTCAAAGAGTCATTTAAGACCTATCTATGTAGTGCATTGCTACACAGCCCGGGCTGGACTCCATTCCCATTCCTCTTCCCTGTACCCAAGTACAAGTACATATCAACACACAGAGAGATCAACGTTTAACTTAATAGAAACATTTAATCTTAGCAAAGTAGTATTGGAATAATATTTACTTCTTAAAGTGCCCCCAAGGGTCCCTACTTTTTTATGACTATTCTTTAAACAAGTGGTATTTTTGTTATAGTATCACTGAAAGATCTTCAACCTTCCTTGCACCTGCACCCTCACAATTTCACCTTGATGCATTTGCTTTGATTATGGCAATGGAGAACACACATGTCCTAAGAAAGGCTTCAAAAGCATTTGCTAACTGGGTATGATATTTCTGCCTCTCTCTTCAACCACCAGAAGGAAATGGTTAGCTTAGCCCTCAAAGAATGGCTTGACAGCCTCCAACTCACTGTAAAACATGTCAGAACATCCATGCTCAAACAAGAGTACTGTGCAATCACGCCTACTCTAACTGATCTATTATGTGCAGTTTGAGTTGCTGCATTCGAGGTCATTAGGTATGGAGCCCTTCAGTAGTGATGGATGACTACAATATTGCACAACCAATACAGCTCCATAGAACCCAATCACTGGTCAATCGCTTAACCATGAGATACATGATCTCTTGTATCAACACTTCTCAGGTTTCCTAACACTGCCACCCTTTAATATAGTTCCCCAACCGAAAAATTATTTTCATTGCTACTTCATTATCTTAAACTGTGATGGCAACTACACAAGCTTATGTGTGTTAAAATCAAAAGTGTCAGGGACTGGAGAGATAGTTAAGAGAACTCAATACAATTACAGAGGACCCAGGTTCAGTACCCAGCATCAGTGCCTATCAGGTAGTTCACAAATGTAACTCCAGTTTCAGGGATTCTGATTCATTCACTTAGACTGCATGGATACCAAGTATGCATATGTTGTACACATACAGAGAAGCAATACACTCATGCACATAAAATAAGTCAGAGAGAGAGAGAGAGAGAGAGAGAGAGAGAGAGAGAGAGAGAGAGAGAGAAAGAGAGAGAAAGTTAAGATATTGTGGTGGTGGCACACACCTTTAATCCCAGCACTCGGGAGGCAGAGGCAGAGGCAGGGGGTTTCACTGTTGAGTACAAAACCAGCCTGGTGTACAGGGTTAAGCTTGTGCCAAGACAGCTGGGACTACACAGAGAAATCCTATCTCGAAAAACAAAACAAATACAGAACTATACATATACTTATTATATGTGAATGAATGCAGGCAAAACTGGTAAATTATATATATATATATGTATATATATATATACATATATATATATATAATTATTATCAATGTTGTTAGATTGTTATATTAGTTAACATTTGGATAGGTAAAAAACAATTCCGCAGAATTCCCTACTTAAGTTTATAGTCTAATTATTGAAAAATCAAAAAGCTGGAATGAGCCTGGCATGGTGGCTCATTAATCCTAGCACTCAGAGGCAGAGGCAAGTGCATTTCTGGGAGTTCAAGACCAGGCTGGTTTCCCTGTCTGTCTGTCTGTCTGTCTGTCTGTCTGTCTGTCTGTCTATCTATCTATCTATCTATCTATCTATCTATCTATCTATCTATCTCAAGTTCCAAGCCAGCCACGGAGTTGAGACCCTGTCCCCAAAACACCATAAGTAGATAGATAGATAGATAGATAGATAGATAGACAGACAGACAGACAGACAGACAGACAGACAAATTGGAGTGGATAAAATGGGTTAAAATATAGTTTATAATCCCAGCTCGGGAGGTAGAGGTGGAAGCATGTAAGTCTCTTGTGAGTTCGAAGACAGTTTGATCTATAGAGTGAGTTCCTGAATAGCCATGGATACAAAGGCAGACCCTATTCTCAAGCAGCAACAACAAAAGCAAAAAACCAGAATCAAAAACAAAAACCCTATGCTTTGAACTAATAAAACGACTAAAATCCTTACCTTTGCTGCCACTTCAGCACTTATCTCTTCTTGAGTCTCTGCTAATCTTTTCTTAGACACTTCTGTTCTTCGATCACAATCTGCAATGAATGACTGGAGATGATCCATGGCCTAGAAAATTTAATATAAAACAATTACTGATACAAAGTCAATGTTACCCAAAATCTCTTTACTAAACACTGTACTTTGGGTAAGGGATGAAGCCGTAAGTACAGAAGTGCTTTCCTGCTATCTAGAAAGCACTGGCTGAATGTTATACTCTTCTCTGTGGCCCACCCCTAAAACAAGAAAAACACAGAGCTGAGAAATTATTAGTGACAGAGCATTTCCCTAGGTTTCAAGTAATTCTAAAAAAAATTAAAAGAAAGCCCAGAAGAAAGAACCTTTAAATCCCTCAAAACAATAAGAAAAAATAATTTCATTCTTAAAAATGTTATCATATTGCCAGGTGGTTGTGGCAAATTCCTTTAGTCCCAGTACTAGGGAGGTGGAGGCAGAGACAGGCCCATCTCTTTGAGTTCAAGCCCAGACTAGTCTACAAATTGAGTTGCAGGACAACCAGGACTATACTGAGAATCCTTGTCTCAAAAAACAACCACCAAACCAACAAACATCCAGCAATACTATAAAAATGTACCACAGTAATCTCAGGCTGAAACAAAATGGTAAGCTGAAGACCAGCTGGAGTGACATAGCATGTGTCAAGTAACCAAAGAAATACAGACAAAGACCATGTCTCAAGGTACAACCAACCAAGGAGAAACAGTTTTGGGGTGTCAATAACTCAATGGCTACTAAGCCTAATGACCTGAGTTCCATCTCCAGGATACACACACGATAGGAGAGAAGCAAATTCCTGAAAGCTAATCTTTGACCACAGACAGAATCATAAACAAGAGACACACACATCCCACACATAACATGGAAGACCATTATAACATCTACAAGAGTTATTATGAATATTTAGATAATTGCTTATATTCTGTGGTTTTCAAACTTTTACAAAAATGATGAAATAAGCCATTAACACATTTAACAGACAAAACCTAAGTTGGATTTTCTTTGAGGGATATTTAATGCTTATAACTAAATAATAGTTCATTCAAAAGTAAACTTTAAAGCTAGGCATGGTAGTGCACACCTTTAACCATAGCACTTGGGAGGCAAAGGCAGGTGGATCTATTGAGTTTAAGCCCAGACTGGTCTACAGAGTTAGTGAGTGGGTTCCAAGACAACCAGTACTACACAGAGAAACTCCTTTGGCCAAAAGAAAGAAAGAAAGAGAGAGAGAGAGAGAGAGAGAGAGAGAGAGATTAATTTAAAAACAAAAAAAAAATGTTCAAATGTGGTGGTTTGAATGAGATATTCTACATATTCAAGCACTTAAAGACTTGATCCCCAGCCAGTAACCCTGTTTTGACAGGTTGAAGAAGTATGGCCTCAGCCCAATGTCAACGCCGCAAGCCTTTAATCCCAGTACTTGGGAGGCAGAGGCACGCAGATCTGAGTTCGAGATCAGTCTGGTCTACGGCTTGAGTTCCAGGACAGCCAGGGATATCACACAGAGAAATGCTGTCTCAAAAACCAACCAGACAAAACAAAAAACCCAAGTAAACAAAAACACAAAACAACAACAAAAAGAAGTGTGCCCTTGTGACTCGATAGATGGCTTGGTGGTCAGGAGCACTGGCTGCTCTTCCAGAGCACAGGGGTTCAATTCCCACTACCCCGAAGGCACTTCACAGCTGTCTGTAACTATAGCTCAAGGGGATCCGGCTGCTGACACAGACATACATGTAAACAAAACACGAATGCACATAAAATGTGGTCTTGCCACTAGGGTCAGGCTTTGAGATTTCGAATGCCATTCCTGGCTCTCTTTTCTGCCTGCTTGCCATTCACTAGCTGCACCAGCTGCCAGTCCACCCAGCCATCTCCAACCCCATACCCCACCAGTACGATGACAGACTCTTACTCCTTTGGAACTTCACATCCAAGGAAGTTACCTAGACCATGATGATTCTTATCACAGCAACAGAATTTAACCCCTGTCCTCTGGAACTTAACCAGCCAAATAAGCCAAGAATTCTCACAAAGTTAACAGAGTTACTATTACCTTTTAAATCACAATACAAATCTGCTTTCACTTCCTTACGTGAAGTCAATGAAATATCAAGAAATACTGCTAGTTCTGTGGAGGAGATATTTTGGCTACCTGTTTCTTGCACCCAAATGAATCCAAGATATATAAAGGATTTAACTGTACAAATTGAAATGACTGCTCATGGGGCTGAAGAGATGGGTCAGCAATTAAGAGGGTTGGTTTTTCTTGTAAAGGACCTGGGATTGCTTCCCAGCACCCACATGTGGCTCACAACTGTCTCTAACTCCAATCTCTATCTGATGCTGTCTTCTGGTCTCCATGGATACCAGGTATGCACCTGGTAAACACAGACACACACGCACAACATTCATACACATAAACTAAATATAAAACTAAAAATACACAGAAGAAACCATGGGTAAAACTATTTTCTGGTCAAAATAGAAAAGATCTTCAAGCTGATAAAATAGGTATTCTAAGCACTGATTAGATCCTATAACTAAAAATATTACTTAAAGACAAAAGTCATCCAAAGAAAAATAAAATAGTAAAGTATTTTTAAAGCATACATGAGGCAAAGGACCAATTTTCATAATTTGTAAGGTTAATAAGTCACCTAGAAAACTGACAATGCTCAAGTTTAGTCAACTCAGAAAATAGCTGCTGTTATACTTGATCTCAAATACAATCAGAACATTCATTCTCACTACATTCATAAAAAGATGCAAATTAGCTGGGCGTCGGTGGCGCACGCCTTCAATCACAGCACTCCGGAGGCAGAGGCAGGCGGATCTCTGTGAGTTCGAGGCCAGCTTGGTCTCCAGAGCAAGTGCCAGGACAGCCTCAAAAGCTACACAGAGAAACTGTCTCAAAAAACCAAAAAAAAAAAAAATTAAGCCAGGCATTGGTGGTGCACGCCCAGGCAGATCTATGTGAGTTCAATGCCAGCCTGGTGTACAGCGAGAGAGCGAGAGAGCGAGAGAGCGAGACAGAAACAGCTCCACTCATATTCTACATTTTGTTTATCAACAGTGACTAAAAACCATCTTAACAACACCATGTAGCCCACAGGTGTTGACTTAAAAATATAAGTCAAAACTTTCACAAAGAGCAATTAAGCATTATCTCTAAATATTACCTTTTGGCTCAGCTAATTTTACATTGATAATGCATAAAGACCAAAAATAACCTCAGTATCAACCACAATGTTCAATGGTAATAATATTCTCCTTTATCTTATGCACAGACAGTATTAAATTTATTTTCACAGACAATTTTATTTACATAAACAAAAGTTCTTAGACATTCAAAAGTCAAGCTATTTACTGCTATTTTCAACTAAATAAAATTACCTAATATCAATGGTAAAAACCACAAGACTTTTCATTGATCATTATGACTTATGTATATGTATCTTATAAAAATACGTAAGTTTCAAAGGTGATATGTTCCTTAAAACATTTTGTATAATTTAGTTTCTCTCTCTCTCTTTTTGGTTGGTTTTTTCGAGACAGGGTTTCTCTGTGGCTTTAGAGGCTGTCCTGGAACTAGTTCTTGTAGACCAGGCTGGTCTCAAACCCACTGAGATCCACCTGCCTCTGCCTCCCAGGTGCTGGGACTAAAGGTTTGCACCACCACCACCCGGCTCTTTTCTCGAAGATATTTATTTCATATGTTTTGCCTACATGTATCTGCGTGCTATGTTAAGTTACTGGTTAATTGTCTACTATGTATGAGGTCTTTGCTGTCATAATACTTAGTATTACCTACCGGCTGAAAAAGTATATTATCTTATCCATGTATTAGTCATCATATAATCAGAAAGATACCTTCCTATGATTTTCTTCCTAAGAGACATTAATTAAGGTTCAAAATATTTTTACTGCAAGAGACAACGTAACATAAAAGGAAAATCACATACATCAAGTTCAAAGAAAAAGTCCTGTTCTTTCGATGCAATTTCATAATCTGCTCTTAAAGCCAGGTCATGGACTTTCAGGCATTCTCCAAGATCCATTCTCTAGGAAAGAAAAGAAGACATTACATTGAAAACATTATAGAAATTCATCAACATCACAGTTCTCTTCAGAATGTATCTTAAGTCATAAATCAGACAATTATAGCTGGGGAGTTAACTTGGTTGCTTAGTGATTGTCTGATATGCTTGAAGTCCTGGGTTCAATACCTTAGCTCTCCATAAACTGGATGTAGTGGAAGATATAGTACTTGGAAGATACAGGTAGGAAGATTACAAGTTCAAGACCATTTGGGAGGGGGGGGCAAGAGAGTGTCTAAAAAAACAGCTATGAATCTTAATAAATTAGTAATACTATAAATACACTACATGGGAGGCTTTTTGGAATGAGGTGGCAAAAATAAGACCACTTACCGTGGTGCAAATCTGGAGGGTGGAAAAGGACACATTAGTAATTAGTTCCCTCTTTCCACCAATCATGGAGATTGAGCTCAGATTGTCACTGAGCCATATGTTCAATCCCTCCTCCAAAAAAGTTTCTCATGAGAATGCATTTAAACTGGACCTAAAGAGTAGGAAGCAATGTGTCTGTAATTCTAGCACCTTAAGAATCTCAGGCTGGGACTGGAGAGATGACATAGTGGGGTTAAGAACACTGGATGCTCTTCTACAGGATTTAGGTTCCATTCCCAGGACCTACATGGCAGCTCAGAATCATCTGGAACTCCAGTTCCAAAGGATTTGATACCCTCTTCTGGCTTCTTGGGCACAAACCATTGCAGACAAACAAGCAGACAACAAAATACATTGGAATTTTTCCTTGTGGGCTACACGGTGTTGTCAATTTTAAAAATAAAAGACTTAAGGGCCTGGAGAGGTGGCTCAGTGGTTGAGAGCTCTGACTGCTCTTCCAGAGGACCTGGGTTCAATTGCAAGCACCCACATGGCAGCTCACAACTGTCTATAATTTTAATTCCAGGGGAACCCACCAACCCACAGCAAACCACCAACACATATAAAAATAAAAAATAAATAAAAATAAAAGACTCAGGCTGGAGGATCTCATCACAATCAATTGATTAGATAGACAGACAGAATTGTAGTAGCATTACAATCTTACACAGTGGAACATGCCTGCAATCATAGCATGTGAAATGAAGCCAGCAATCCGTGTTTGATCCCCACCCACCACCAAAAAGCAAAACAAAATCCAGCTAACAAAATAAAATTCCATATAAAACAGCTAATACTACTCAGTCATAAGAAATTTCTACAGGAAATAGTGTTATAGTGTCTACTGCACCAGTCTGAAACTTAGTTTTTTGTTTTGTTTTCTTTTTAGAGACAGGGTTTCTCTGGGCTTTGGAGGCTGTCCTGGAACTAGCTCTTGTAGACCAGGCTAGTCTTGCACTCACAGAGATCCACCTGCCTCTGCCTCCCAAGTGCTGGGACTAAAGGCATGCGCCACCAACACCCAGTTAATGAAACAGTTTTATATACAGAATCTAAAATGACTTCGTCAAACTTGCTTTTTTATTTTTGCCAATAACTTGTGTATGTATGAAACAAAGTTATGAACAATTATCTTGCATAATATTCCAAACTAAATATACTACATTTATCAGATCAAAATTTTCAGGATTTTTAAAAAGATTTAAAAGGATATAGTGGGTAAATTTTAAATAAAGATACACAGTATGTTTAAAAACCAAATTATATATGAACAGAGAACTAGAGAAATCTTAAAACTAGTCACAATAAAATGTTATGGGCCAGGTGTTTCGGCACAGGCCTTTAACCCCAGGGCTTGCTGGGCAGAAGCAGGCAGATCTTCGTGCATTCAAACCTGACCTACATAGCTGGTTCCAGGGATACACAAAGAGACCCTGTCTCAAAACGCCACACAGAAGATGCTTGTAATCCTAGGACTTTGGGAAGCTAATGCAGGATGATCAAGTTCAAGGTTACTTAGACTACATAATAAAAACTGCCTCCAAAACTTAAACTAAGGGGCTGGAAAAATGCCTCAGCTATTAAGAACACTTGCTCCTTCTCTCCAAAGTGACCTGAGTTTAGCTCCCAGCGACCATGTCAGACAGCCCATGTGGCATATAATTCTAGCTCCAAGGGATGTGACACCGCCACAGTCAATTGCATAACCCTGGCTTTCATACACAAAGTTATACGTACACCCTAAATGGATAAATAAGTAAACAGCAAGCAACTAAATACATAAATAATGGTGCAGCCGTTGGTGACACACACCTTTAATCCCAGCACTTGGGAGGCAGAGGCAGGCGGATCTCTGTGAGTTCGAGGCCAGCATGCCACACTGCATTTTTTTTTTAAAGATTTTTTATTTATTATGTATACAACATTCTGCTTTCTTGTATATCTGCACACCAGAAGAGGGCAAAAGATCTCATAACAGATGGTTGTGAGCCACTATGTGGTTGCTGGGAACCAAACTCAGGACCTCTGGAAGAGCAGTCAGTGCTCTTAACCTCTGAGCCATCTCTCCAGCCCCCACACTGCATGTTTTACAGCAGTGTTTTTAAATAGTAAATCTATGTGACCTACAACTAATTTTAAAACTGCACTCCAGATTTGCTTGTTGTGTGTCATGCCCCCCCCCCCTTCTATGTGTAGCTGTCCTGGAACTCGCTCTGGAGACCAGGCTGGCCTCCAACTTACAGAGATCTGCCTGCCTCTGCCTCCCCAGTATTGGGATTTAAGGCCTACGCCACCATTGTCAGGTGCTCTATAATCTCTTTTAACAAATCTATTTATGGTTTTTAATGAGTTCTTTATTTGATTGATAATTAACTTTACATATTGATTTTTCTCTTCTGATTGCCTTCTCTGCATGCTTTACTCTTAAGATACATGATCTCAAAACTTGTCTCTCAAAATGTGCTTGCTTCTTAGGTCAAGATTTGCTCTTTTTAAAAATTTACTTGTGCTGGGCAGTGGTGGCGTGTGCCTTTAGTCCCAGCAGAGACAGGTGATCTCTGCAAACTGGGGGCTACCCTGGTCTACAGAGAGTTCCAGGATATGCTGCAAAGCTACAGAGAAATCCTGTCTCAAACAAAACAAAGATTTTTATTAATTTGTGTGTGTATGGTGTGCATGTGTGTGGTGGTGGTAGGGTGTCACAGGATGCCCGTGGAAGTCAAAGAACAACCATGTGGAATCTGTTCCCTCCCTCTACATTTACAGGGGTTCTGAGGGTGGAAGTCTGGCAACCAAACTTGGATAGCAAATACTTTTGCTCAGCGTCATCTTTGCCAGATCAGGGTTTGTTTTTAAAGTTAGCCTTCTGGAATTGGGAATGTAGCTCAGTGGTAGAGCTTACTAAAAAATGCAATGCCCCAAGTTTAGTTCTCAGTCTAAAACAAACATAACTCCAAAAAAACATAAAAAATCCAAGGCAGCTAAAACTAGTCTTAGATTTTCACTTAGCTGGGCAGTGGTGGCACACGGCTTTAGTCCCAGCACTTGGGAGGCAGAGGCAGGCAGATCTCTGTGAGTTGAAGACCAGCCTGGTCTACAAGAGC